TTGTTGTTGTTGCTGTTGTCGATGTTATTGATATTATACTGGAGTACAGATTGTAATCGTGTTTATACTAAGACGTACAGTACCGTATATGTGGCCAGGATACTGCAGTCTAACAGTAAGTGAACAACCATCCAAAATTGAAGGTAGCAGTTATATATATAAGTTAAAATAATATAGGTATAAATTTGATGTTATATAAGGAAATCGTAATTCATTTTCATCGGACTGTAGAACTAGTTGACTGCATATTTATATTCATCCCAAATTTCAAAATCGTCGTACGCTTCTAGAATCGGTTGAATGCTGTTGTTGTTGATGATCTGTGGAATGGGAGCGTTGATGTTGTTTTCGTTGATGAAGATGTTGATGTTGCTGCTGTCGTTGATGAAGATACTTCCATTGCTGACGATGTTGTTGTTGTTGCTGCTACAGCTGCTGATGTTGTTGTCGATGTTGCTAATTGAGATCAAGTCGTTGCAGATATTGTTGTTGTTGTTGATGAGGATGTTGTTGTTGAAGTTGTTGATGTTGTTGATGTTTTCGAGCTTGTCGTGAGTGTTGAAGCTATTGTTTAAGATTGCTTTTTCTATGGTGCTCTTTAAAGGACTGTTAGGATCGATATTTCTCTGTGGAAAGCCAATGGAATATTAATACATTCATACAACATTCAACATTAATACATAAGAATGTGCCGTACATATTTTGTATTACCAAATTACCTATGCACTTTGCTGACCAGGAAAAAGACGGTAATGAAAATAAAGCAAATGAACATGAAATGATCACTTGAAAAAATTGCAGTGAAAATAATTATGATATAGCAACAACAACAACAATAACAACAACAACAACAATAATGCCAAAAATAGCTGTGATAGAAAGCAATGAACCTGAACGCAGATGGTCTGGACGAGCATTTGATGTGTGTTGTACTGTGCCTGAAGATTCGTCATGTCTTGTGCTGATTTAAAAATTAATTCAAAATTATTTTTTGATGTTATAATAACAAAATTATTCAGATTGGTTCAATTATTTTTAAATATAAATAAATGTTTTGTTTGTAGTTCCAAGTTTTTCTTCACAACTGAACTACGTTCACAAAAGATACACGCGAAATTCTAATATTTTGAATGTAATTTTTATATATTAATTTTTTTTTCGAGGTAGGTTGATTTTCAATAAAAATGTTTTGTAACAACGAATTCCACTGAGTGGTATTCATCATTTCATCTGTGATAGTTCACTTCACTGGGAGCTGGGGTTATCTCAATGCTAACAGTCTTCAATGTTACTGAAACCAATGAACAACCAAGTGCAGGATGGCGGCTGAGTTGTGGTACTTACTTCTCGTTCCAACCTCTGCTGACGGCTATTTTAATCGTTGGTTGAAGCACTGAGGTTTTATCAGGCTATGCATGTTCAGAGTGCCGGAGTCGAATTTTCAACCGACTGGCAGCTACAATTGAAATGAACAAACTCAAGTTGGAAATGACACTTTTTGTCTTTTCCGGTGGCTCGTGTTAATATAAAACTAGAGACGTTCCTACATTAGCATACAGAAGTCATTTATTTTTTATATATTTTTTCGTAACAAAAACGAACGAACGAACAGACAAACAAACGAACAAACAAACGAACAGACAAACAAACAAACAAACTAACTAACGAACGAACGAACGAACAAACGAACAAACTAACTAACTAACAAACTAACAATCGAACGAAAAAACGAACGAACGAACGAACGAACTAACAAGCAAGCAATGCCAATACGTACCGTTAGATTTATCGAGAGTCGACATATCGTTTACGCTGTCTAGATCGCTTAGTGTGTTGGGCAACGTCAGTGGCGGTAGCGATGAAGTTAACAAAGCATTGCTGTATGATGCTAGTAGGTGTGATGAATAGTTTGGTTGGTGGTTCGGCCGATGGTTCGATTGCACGGGTGTGCCATCAACAGATTGGTTTATTGATTGAGTGATTGGTTGGTCGAGTGACTGACTGACATTTTGGTTTAATGTCTCGTCATTTGTTTGACTAAGAGTTTGGCTGAAAAACTGATTGATAGGATGGTTTAATGGTTGGTTGATTGACTGGTTGAGTGATTGTTGGCTATCGAAAAACTGCTGGTTGATTGACTGATTAATTAGATCTACATAGCTTAGTATTAGGTTGTTGTTGTTGATGTTGTTGCTGTTGTTGGCTGATTCTAAAGAAAAAGAAATTAAATTATTGTTGATATTGTTGTTGATGTCGTTGTTGATGTTGTTGCCATTGATGTATGTATCATTTGCTACATTATTGCTGTTGTTATTGTCGCCATTTGGAAAAAGTGCTGTCATCACATTTGCATTAACATCTTCGTTAACATTAACGTTTCCATTAATGTTATTACTAATGCTGTTGTTGCTGTTGTTGTTGATTTGGTTGATATTATAATTGTTAATGACATTAATGTTGTTGACGTTGTTGTAGTTGATGTTATTGTTATTGTTGTTGTTGTCGAAATTTTGTGTAACGAATGAAAGCAGTTTGAAGAGTTGGTCGTTGCTGTTGTACTGCTGCTCCACGATTGATTTGATGTCTGTGTGAGGTAAATTATTATTCCACATCAACATTGTTGTTACGGCTTTTATTTAGTTGTTTGTTGGGTGGTTGGTTTGTTGGATGTTTGATTTGTTGGATGGTCGGTTGGTTCGTTGAATGGTTGGTTTGTTGGATAATTGATTTGAAGATGGTTGGTTTGTTGGATGGTTGGTTTGCTGGGTGGTCGGTTGGTTGGTTTGAAGATGGTTGGTTTGTTGGATGGTTGGTTTGTTGGGTGGTTGGTTTGTTGGATGGTTGGTTGGCTTGTTTTTGTTTCCCATTCCCACTCCCCACCCTTACACATATCCTCCGCAGCCACGCATTCCCACTCCTATTCCAGGATTCCAGGACCCGCCAGTGTTTCCGCAGATGACGGATCGTTAAAGAAATAAAATGACATGAAGTAGAGTTGTGATAATATTCAGAAACATTTTCAGCCACTGTCGCAACTGCCTTAAGTAGCAGGTTTTGAATGGTTGGCTGGCACGGAGCAGCTTACATTGGGCAGACTTTAATATTTGCAATAAAACTTCTGTGCCACAAACTCAGAGTAGTTGAACAGAACTACACGACGTGCAGACAGTGCATACAAAATTACAAACGCACGCACACGCGGCACATATGGTAGTTCTGGAAATTCGGACAGACGGCACTTGAAGCCGGTCAGCGCGCAATAATGACGGAAAACAGAGCCCCTTCCAACTGAGCTAACCTACAGAACTGATGCATCTTTAAACTGAAGAGAGGAAGGAGTGTGACAGTTTGCTGTCATCAATGATGCTATGAGTTTGAGGAAATAAATGAGTAACATCGGAATCACAATAGCAACTAAATCAACAACAACAACAAACAACATCATGATGACAGAAACACCACCCCCACAACAACAAAAACAACAAAAACATCACAATGACATCAACAATAGCATCACAATGGCACCAACAACAGCAACATTAAGCTAACGAACCGTGTGGCATGTCAGGTGACTTTTTGACGATATCCTTGATGACATCAATAAGTTCGTTGTCTGTCAGCTGGTTGATGTCAATGACATCTGGTTGTTTTAATGTCATCGTTGTTTGTGTTGTGGTCGACGGTGGTTGCTGCTGCTGCTGCTGTAGGGAGGTTTGGTGGATTTGAACCGGGGCCTGGTTGGACTGCAGTGGTGATTGGTTGGTTGATCATTTGATTGCCAGGAGAATGGGTTGATGAATGGTTGAATTTATTGGTGAATTTGCTTGCTGAACTTTTTAATTTTAATTTTTTAATCATAATTTTCGTATCATCATCATCTTGATCAATAACTTAATCACATAAATAATAATAACAATGACGATGATGATGATGGGGACAAAAATCATGGTCGGTTATTATAAATGTAATTGGTGGCTACCCCAAAATGATAATAATCATTAATGAAAAATAATTAATAAAATTAATAGTAGAAATTTATTGGATAACCCAAAATGGTTAATTATGTTTTAAAAAAAATTTTTAATTAAACGCATTTAAATTTAAATTTCATAATCCTACATTATTTAAATAATGATAATCAATAATTCATTCCTTTAATTCGTAAATAAAATGCTCCAACAATTAATGGTGAATCCAACCTGGAGATAGCCCATCACATCTCCATTTACATCCATAGCATCAAGTCTGACCTATACATGGGTGTTTGTGTGTTTGTATGTTTGTGTGTTTGTATGTATGCGTGTATGTATATATATATATATATATATATATATATATATATATATATATATATATATATATATACTACTAATAACACTAGGCCCAGGGGTAACGAGTACTACATTAATATTGCTACTAATACTTTTGCCACGGATTCAACAAACTTTGTTGCCACTGCTAATGAATATATTTTGCAAATACCTTATGTTTGACGAATTGTTGATGCTGTAGTTGTTGGTGTTGCTGTTGATGTTGTTGTTGAAGTTGTTGTCTGTCAGATCTCTTCTGTGTAAACCTTAGTTGATTGTTGTTGTTGTTGATGTTTTGTTCACTTAATGCCCAGTAAGAACCCTGCGTGTTGTATTTTTATGCATACGTGAATGTATATGTGAATATGTGTGTGCGTGCGTGTTTATATGTGTGTGTGTTTGTGCGCGTGTGCGTGTGTACATATGCATACGCGTAGTATAATATATTTACGTGCAGTGACGGATCTTATCTAAACAATTTTAGAAAATTTTGGCTTTTGAGGAAAGACACTTGTTATAGTGTGGCCAAGCAAAATTAGGTTAGTTACTGTTAAAGTATGTGTGTGTGTATATATCTGCATATATGAATATATGTGCATGTGTAAATATGTGCGTGTGTGTGTGTGTGTGTGTGTGTGTGGTGTGTGTGTGTGTTATTACATTTATTTGTTATTTTGTTAAATTTCAAACCACCTTTCCCGGGTCATCTTTTAATCTGGACTGCTTCACGAAGTGTTTGTTCAGTGAGAGATTGTGTCTTATAGAGTTCTGTCGGTGCAATGGAAATCAAGGTTAAAATTTTTTAAATTTAAAAAAATACATTGACGCGAAGTAACCGATGAGTATATAAGAGAAGAGGAACAAAAAATGAAAGACAATGTACAAAAAATAAGCCTGACCGGATGAAAATAGAGACGAAAACGACCCGACCAACCTTCCAACCGTATCCGGCATTCTGGTAGTAAGGATAGTTGCTGGCTATCCACTGATATATCTCAGATAGGGTCATCCTCTTGACATTTGAACTGTTGATGGCCGCTGTGATAAGGTAGGTGTAGCTGAAGGGAGGTTTCGTCTGCGAACTATCCTGGCTGTCGTTGTTGTCTGAATACTTTACACTATTGAACGGAGAGATGCTTTCCTGGTTATGATCTTCCGGTTGCTGTGGCTGACGCGCCGTTGCGTCTTCTGATCCGCCTGTTAAGTTGGCTACGTTCAGTTGAGATAACCAATCCATTTCCGTTAAACTGGATTCTAAACTTGAACAATCTTCCTCGTCTTCATCGTCGACCATCGTCCGATCCTGCTCTTCAAACTGTTCCGTGTTCATTTTGATGCACAGCGACGACGTCAATTAAATTTTATTAATATTGTTTTCTTTTCAAACAATTCTCCCAAAGAAGAAGATAACGGTAATGCCCTATTGAACAGAAATAAAATATTTATTTTCTGCAGGTAATACAGTAGTAAATGAAGAGACCAATTCAAATGAATTGATACTGCATCCAGGTTTCATCTACTTTCACTTTTTGTTACTTCTTATGCAACTTCTCCAGTTCACATGAAATGCCACCCAATTTAATTCAACAGTCAGAGCCTTCGTACGTATGCATGATCAAAAATATATTTCAATTTCAATTGTAAACGCGGAAATAAATGCAGATTAAAACGTGGCAAAAAACTTTAAAAAAGTGTAAATATGTAATATGTAAATAAAGTAATTTTGAGGCAACCAGGAGAGCAGCACCTAACTGAAACATTTAATAAATGGCCCGTGAAATTTCACAACTGCGTGCATCGATTTTTTATATTGATTTTAATGCAGTCCTGGTGGTACAGTTACGTTGGTTCACCTGTATTGCTGGGAGGAGGCAGGCAAAGACATTTAAATTTCATTTTTGCGGTCATATTCTGCTTAAATGTCAGTCAACTAAAGTTTATTTGTTATTAAAGACTTGAATATAAATTGTATCAATCATGTTTCAGTACTCTAGTACAATTTTTTACTTAGTCAACAGTAAACAATATATTTGTAAATTTTCAAACTGTTATTAAAAATGATTTACCACGTTGAAATAAATCAACAATTTTCTTGTCGAATGTTTTATATTTTATGATTATTTTCATTGAAATAAAAACATTTTAAATGAACTTTTTTTAAAATTTTTGTCAACAGATTTTCCTATTTATGTGCTGTTTTGATCCTGGATTTTCAAAAAGCATTGAGATAATTTTTTATCAGAGTTTACTTTTCATTTTGTTTACAAATTTTTTTTAATTAGATGAACAAACGTGGAGCGTTAACTTTCGCGATGAACTCCGTAAATTTCGTAAACTAACACCCCGCCAGAAAAATGTTTTTATACTAAAAAAATAGCAAATTTATTTTATAAGTACGACGTTCTAATAACAAAATTAAATAATTTAAATTAAGTTTTAACTAATTTTTGTGTGTCTCTGTGTAAGACTAGAAAAAAAGTGTATGTAGAAGAGCAAGTAAAAAAAGTGGTACCGTGTCTACTCCACTTCTCATTGGCACTTGTCTAGGTTGCGGTTGCCTGTGCTACGGTTCTTATGTCTATGCCTACGCCTACACACATCATACCCGCAGTGTGCATAGTGTAGTAAACACTAACTAAACAGCACACTACAGGTAACTAACTAAAATCAGCTAGAATTGGTTCTATGTTCTAATCTTTTTTCTCAGGTAAGGTAAGATTGGAAATTAGGATTTACTATATAATTTAGGATCGAAAAGGTCAAGAATTTTTTAGAGGAAACAAGAAAATCAAAAAATCAGACCTGAAGACATCCACACCTTGGGCAATTTTTTAATTCTCTATTATAAATAAAGTTCAGAGTTTATTTTTGTAATTAAATTTCTTTTTTATGTATCCAATCCTTGTGATCTTCATCTTATTTGCCTCCTGCATATTCAACTTGTTTGTCATTCAACTGATTTTCACGTAAGTAGTTTTTCAATCCATTTTTTATTTTCAGTTTCTATGTATATTTACATTTAAAAGTCTAGCCAAGTGTAAATGTGAATAATTCTTGTAGGGAAATACCAACATGCGGCAACTTGTTAACCTTCAGTCAGTTCTCTTTCATAGGTATTTGGGGACTCGTCTTCACGACCAGGTTCCTCACCAAACCTCCCAACATCCCCCTTGTGTTGGTAATGGGCTGGTTTGGATGTAATGGATGGTTCATGTGTGTGTGTGTGTGTGTGTGTGTGTGTGTGTGTGTGTGTGTGTGTGTGTGTGTGTGTGTGTGTGTGTGTGTGTGTGATGGTGATAGTGATGTAGATGGTGTTTATTCTATGTTTAATTTTGTTTGTTGTGTACTAAATTACTGTTGTTGTTCATGTGATCAACTTAACCGTTGTCATTGTAGGAGTCGTCTGTTTTATTAATTAAATTATCATGTTCTTACTTGTGATCTTTTTCCATAGAGGCTACAGGAAGCTGATGCTGACGAATGCGGCCAATGTCATCTTTCAATCGATCATCATCAACTCCAGGCTGAACATGGCACTCATTCATCTATTTAGAGCTGTTCCTATCAATTATTTATTTTCAACATTGATTTATTGTTATCATTATTTCTTATTATTTTATTTTCATTGTAATATATATATATATATATATATATATATATATATATATATATATATATATATATGTGTTTGTTGTGTATTTGTGTCTATAATTGTTTGTGTGTTTAGATTTGTATGTGTATGTGTGTGTGCATATAAATATTATTATGCACCTACCTGTTTTAGCATGTCTTTTAATGTATGTACGTGTTTGGCTTTCCATAACTCCATTATGAATTTAAATAACTTGAATTGAATTCGGATAACTTGAATGTGTGAAATCTTAACTCATTGATTTGTCAATTGATTGATTAATTGATTGGATGTTAATAAATGAACACAAGTACAATACTTGTGAACTTGCACTCTACAGAGTTCACTCATAGGTACGTTGGTACTTGGAGTACTTGTGTGCAAGAAACGGTTGGTACTTTTTGGTTGTTCTTTTTTGTTGAATTCAGTTCTACCTTTTTATTCTTATTTTGATTATTATTCTTGTATTTTCACTGATTTTTCACATAGTTACTTTGTAAACTTGATTCATTTTTTAGTTTTCAATTTCGTTTTTGGTTTCAACTTCAATATGTTTAGGTAAAATTTTAAATCTGAATAGATGATAAAATCTCTGGATTTGATCATTTATCTCAATCTTTATCCATCCATCTGTTTATCCATTCATTCATCCATTTTTTTATCCGCCCATGAACCCATGCATGCATTCATCCATCTATTCAACTATCTAATCATTCATCAACTCATCCATTCTTCCAACCATTCATCCATCTGTTTGTTTATCCATTAATTCATTCATTAATTCATCCATTTTTTTATCCGCCCATGAACCCATGCATGCATTCATCCATCTATTCAACTATCTAATCATTCATCAACTCATCCATTCTTCCAACCATTCATCCATCTGTTTGTTTATCCATTAATTCATTCATTAATTCATCAATTTATTCAATCTTCCATCTATCTATCTGTCCATGATTCATCCACGCATGCAGTTACACACTATCCAAGTACATTTCTGTATCCATGATCACCTGTGGGTTGCTCATCGCGTTATCCGCTCCAACTAACGTCCATGTAAGTAGTGGACAGTAAATGAATGCATTCATTCATTCATTCATTCATTCATTCTTTAATTCATTCATTCATTCTTTAATTCATTCATTCATTCATTCATTCATTCATTCATTCATTCATTCATTCATTCATTCATTCATTCATTCATTCATTCTTTAATTCATTCATTCATTCATTCATTCATTCATTCATTCATTCATTCATTCATTCATTCATTCATTCATTCATTCATTCATTCATTCATTCATTCATTCATTCATTCATTCATTCATTCATTCATTCATTCATTCATTCATTCATTCATTCATTCATTCATTCATTCATTCATTCATTCATTCATTCATTCATTCATTCATTCATTCATTCATTCATTCATTCATTCATTCATTCATTCATTCATTCATTCATTACATTCATTCATTACATTCATTCGTTCGTTCGTTCGTTCATTCATTCATATTCATTTATTCATATTCATTTATTCATTTGTTCGTTCGTTCATTCGTTCGTTCGTTCGTTTGTTCGTTCATTCATACATTCATTCATTCATTACATTCATTCATTCATTACATTCATGTCACTAGTACAAGAAACAAACACTGTATGTAGGGAGCATTGAATCATTATCTGCTTATGTGAAGTGGCCTGTAGGTCGGTAATGAATGAATGAATAAATGAATGAATGAATGAATGAATGAATGATGAATGAGTGAATGGATGAATGAATGAATGAATGAATGAATGAATGAATGATGAATGAGTGAATGGATAAATGAATGAGTGAATGAATGAATGAATTAACAAAAAACCAAAAATACAAAAAAATCAAAATCTTGATTAAGTGGTGTTGACGTTCGTCT